CGACACCCGACCCCCGGCACTGGTGACCGCCACCCCGGGGGGGGGGGAAGGACCCCCTGTTTCTCGGAAATCGATAAATCGCCAGGGGCTGCCAGGCGGCGGTGCGCACCCCCCAGTATTTTTTTTTTTTTTTGGAAAGCCGGGGCCGGGGGTGCCGACCCCCGGGGCCCCGGCGTCCGGGGGTCGACAACCTTGGTAACTTTTGTTGCTAAAGGAATCTGGAACGAAGGGTCATGAACTGCATACAAATACACATATAAACAACAATGGAACGACTAAGACTTCATACAAAAATGAACTTTTTGTTATGTGATGTACGACGTAGACCCGAGTTCATGTTTTTGGTTGTCTATCTGTTTCGCTATCAGAGCTGTCATCCACAATAGATAAACTGTAACCTTCGCGACGCAATTTCTTCCCTTCTATGAGGCTTATTCCAACAGCTTTAAACATCCTTAGGGCAGTTGGCTTCATAGATGGAAATGTCATGGGTTGTAAGTCTTCTTCTCTCTTTTTTTGGCAATAACGACAAAGTCGATAAGGCTTGCAAGCCACGACGAATAATATTCTTCTCACTATGCCTTTGCGAACGTACGTGCGTCGTTTTCCACAGTTCTTTTCGTCGCCCTAGCAATATAAAACGACAATGATTGACAAGACAAAACATTATGAGTTTAAGTTTAATTTTTCACATAATTGCAAATAAGAGATACACAATATTCTACTTCATTTCTTCTCATGACCGAGTGCACGGTTGCAAACCTAGGCAAAAAATTAGTTAATATGAGATGAGTGCATGTACCCCTTAATCCGCATATATTATTAGATATTCCCTTAGAGATAAGTACGTGCTCGCCTCGGTGGCTCACTAACGCTTTGTCTTCAACACGACCTTCTATCGCACCATGCGATGGTGTAAAAGGAGATTTGTCGATAGATATCACGAGGTTAGCAGATTGTTGTGCTTCTGATTTTGCAACCATAAGTTGAGGCTGTACGAACGTATGTTGCTCCTGTGTACTTAGTACTATATGTCCTTCATCCTCTTCGATGGTCTGTACATTGGCAGTTTCGTTTGCACCTGCAGTCACGCTTTCATTCTTCATGTCCAGAGAGACTTCATGCTCATCTTTCTCAACAAGCATATCCAATGGCATCTCTAATTCTACAAGTGCACCAGTATTATCCACTTGCGCAGTAACACTCTCGCTCGCCAACACAGTGGTCTCCCAAACTTGGTCATCCGGAAGGACGTCCTCGACACATTTCGACAGTTCTCCATGACTTACGCCCTTGACGCTTGCACCGCCGCTTCCTCCCAAATCCTGGCCACTTGCATCGCCTCTCGATCCCCTGCCATGTGCACCGCCGCTTGGTCCTAATCCCAGAGGCGAACCCGATCCCCTTCAATGTGCACCGCTGCTTGGTCCTAATCCCAGAGGCGAACCCGATCCCTTGTCATGAACACTGCCGCTTGGTCCTGATACCTTTCCCTCTGTTGCTTGACGCCCTTGACACATTTCGTGTTTTTGCAGTTCACCATGACTTATTGGCTTTCCACTTGCCCCGACGCTCGGTCCAAGGCCCTTGCCACTGGCACTGCCCCGTGGTTCCGATCCCTTGCCATGTTCACCACCACTTGATCTTGTTCCCTTGCCAAGCGCACCGCCGCCTGATCCTGATCCCTTGCCACTCTCATCGCCGCTTGCTCCTTTCCTTTCCCCAACTTTGTCTTCAAGTTCCTCTTCGATACGCCAATTATATCCAAAAGTTGGACTTGTTTCTCGATCATAGAACTCTTCCAGATACTAAAAGCATCGAGATGTTTTGAACTCTTGAAAGATTTCGTCTGTCCTTGCATCCAGTCTTGATTGAGAAACCTTCGGATTAAGTCGCAGTAGTCGCTTGCCAATCTCATTTTTGGCATGTGTGACAAACTTGGATCGTGACATACGTCTGCGGAGGCAAAATTGCCACTCCCCTTCTTCTTTTATAGCCATTACCCAGTTCCCTCTCGCCAATGCAGGTTGGAAGTGGTGGGGGTGCCATATAATGTGATGACCTCATACGTTGTCAGGCATCACCGTATTATTGTCTCAGCACACAACAGGTCCAGGAAGCCGTGCAATGTCCGGAGGGATGATGTCTTCAATCTCGTACTCCAAAGGCTCAGACGGAGGTGGTTGAGGAGTTTGAGAGCGTAGCAATTCCAAAACAGTAGTCGGGCTATGTGCAAGTGCTGACAGACTTGCCATAACCTCTGGGGAGAGAATTGCCTGCACCCTCGGATCATCCCGAACTGCGCCGGAAGATAGCGTTGTTGTGTTGCCCGCCATGTAACTGGTCCGTTGAAACTGGTCCGTTGTAACCGCCATACTCGAAGCCCCCCCAAAACCGGATGATGTGCCCGGCGCACCCATCTTCTGCGAAGCCGAGCTACAAGCTTTTTGCCTCTCATCTGCCAAAGCCGCTTGCAAAGTACCATCTTCACTTTCTTCCTCTGAGTCCTCAGCATCGAAGCCTTCCCCAAAACAAGTTGCATAAGCTGCGATTGTAAACGCCCCGATTTGTTCGTCGAAGTACATCATCTCCAAACGGTCTAGAAATGCAACTTCCGTCTCCGCCAGTGCCTTATGATACCCCCTCAGAAGTGATTCCATTTTTCGCCTTCTGACGACATATGCACGTTCCCCTCTGTTTTGTGGCTTAGTCT